TACAACAGTGAGCGCAAGCTAGATTAAAGTGATTATTACGTTTTGAATATGGATATTTTTTTACAAAAACGCATCGATTCGCTACAGGAGGCCTTTGTTCACCCCCCGGAGCCGTGTGAGACACTTTTTTTTATGGATGGGCGCATTTTTAATTAAGTGCTTTTGGACTGATGCATGCAACACCCGCTGAGTGCCATGAAACAGCTTGAAAGATCAAAGACAATTTTTAATATAACTCCGACTGGATTCGTCTGAAAGAAGAAAGTCATATACACCTAGGATGACTTGAGGGTGAGTCATTTATGGGCTAATTTTCATTTTGGGTGAACTACCCCTTTAAATACTATTTTTTACTTGAATAAAAGCACTTAATTTTGAAGCTATCACATGAAGCACATATTTTGACAACCAGGCAGACATTTTAATAGTGTGAACACTTTCTTCAAAAATGAAAACGGAAAAAGCAGAACTCTACATCTCTAAAAGACGTTAGACAAACCTTGGTTTTGTTGCTGGAATGTCTCTGTGAGGTCCTGTAGGTGCAGCAGAAGAAGACCTCCAGCGCCTAACAGCAGCAGGAACCAAAAGGAGCAGAGGAGTCTCATGACCGTTGATCGTAGGGACCTCCTTCTGCCTCCACAGCCAGCCTCCAGCACCCTACACTCTACCCACATCACGGCCTGTGACGCACGGCCCTGACGGTGAGACCTACACATCCACACGCACACACAAAGAAAAAACACAATGCCTTAGCAACCGAGACAGTCATGACTGATTTACTTCTGCAAGATAAGCTAGTCAGCAAGCTAGTAGTCTTGAGGTCAGGAACTAGAATTTTTTGGGGTATATGAACCAAACACCTTGCAACACCCAGAAAACTCTAGCATTACAGTGGCAAGTTTTGTGTGCACAAACAGGACTCACATTTTCTCAGAAAATGAAAAAAATCTAGTTAATCCAGCTGTTGGGAACTGTTGAAAACTTTTATTAGTTTCAGTCAGTTAAAAATTGAAAAGGACAATGGACCGTCTGCATTTGTGAATTTTTATTTCTGTATTTCGTGTACTACAATTCGCATGCATTTATATTAATAGCGTGTTGTTTTTGCAGATCTATCTGATGAATATTTTGCTGACTGCAAGGTCCCATTTCCCACAAGAGAGGATGCAAGACAGAGAATAGGAAAGAGAGAAAGGGAGGCACAGGTGTGTGTCGAGTGTGTGCCAGGTTTGCTGTTCTCAGCAGGTGAGAGCAGCATAAGGAATCATATGCTCTGAGCCTATAGGGACCAAGCCTACACTAAACATCTTGCCCTGCCTGTTCCACGTGTATCCTCTACACTCTGTGAGATTAGACTGCCTGACTCAACCAACCCACACAATCATAAATTCTTATTACAAACATTCATCATAGAATGTGCCTCGCGGAGCTTAACATCAAACAAATCTGGTGCACTGAGGAAGAAATTATAGACTGATGTGAATTAATTTGCTTTTAACATTATTAACAATGGACCGTCTGCATTTGTGAATTATTATTTCTGTATTTCGTGTACTACAATTCGCATGCATTTATATTAATAGCGTGTTGTGTTTTTGCAGATCTATCTGATGAATATTTTGCTGACTGCAAGGTCCCATTTCCCACAAGAGAGGATGCAAGACAGAGAATAGGAAAGAGAGAAAGGGAGGCACAGTTGTGTGTCGAGTGTGTGCCAGGTTTGCTGTTCTCAGCAGGTGAGAGCAGCATAAGGAATCATATGCTCCGAGCCTATAGGGACCAAGCCTACACTAAACATCTTGCCCTGCCTGTTCCACGTGTATCCTCTACACTCTGTGAGATTAGACTGCCTGACTCAACCAACCCACACAATCATAAATTCTTATTACAAACATTCATCATAGAATGTGCCTCGCGGAGCTTAACATCAAACAAATCTGGTGCACTGAGGAAGAAATTATAGACTGATGTGAATTAATTTGCTTTTAACATTATTAATAGGACTGTGCATAATAACATTAAATCCACATTAAATGGCACTTTTTCTCAAATAGACTGCAAAATAGGGCTTGAAACTCATTTTCAACAAATAGTAAAAGGAAGTGCTTAACCTTCAGAAAATGACTGCAGTCAAATTCAAGAGGTCAAACTAAATTTTGCATGAGGTGTTTTATTTTCCATTCATTTTATATGAGGTTTGCAAACCTGTTACCCAATTTGGGACATGTCTAAACAAACACTGACTTGTGTGATTTTAAAATAATCTTTAAATATATAAATTACAGGATATTTTTAAAAGAAAAAAGTAATATTGTAACTATACATATATATTTAGTGAGGACCTCTGAAATGGGTCAAAATGGGACAAGTCCCGTGTCATCAGAATAAATCAAAGCACAGCAATTACAGAAATTATTTGTAGCATTGTAAATGTAGCTTAATTTGCTTTGCAAAGTCATTTTCATTTGCTTGAGAGCATTTTCCATTCAGCACTTAAGTGCAAGTGCCACATTTTCCACTGTAAAACCGAACATCAAGCCTTTGTCAGATGGAAACCGGCCTTATCATCTTCCCACATAAAAACACCAAAATTGCAGCTTGATGTGTACAGTCGCATCTTTGCAGGCAATCACAGCTGAGGTGATGGGGGTTAGATTTCTTTAACAACAGCTTTGAGTTAAAAAACACCCCATGCACCTGCTCCTTCATGGACGCCCCCTTTCCTTTTATCTAGGCTTGATTGCGTTTCCCTGGATTGGACCACTTCCCCCATTACCCCAGTCCCAGGATATTGCTGATCCCTGACCTGTATGATAGTGGGATTTAAAAAGGTCTTGAGTAGCACAAGGAAACCTGTGGATGCAATCTAGAACTGCTCTCCTCACTAGAGCCAGAGGATCTTCTGCTAATGAAAGCAGCTCTGTCACCAGATGCTACCCTGCCTTTTAAGATCTTACATTTGACATCCACTTGTGATTATACTTCTAATTTAAACCCAGGTCAAAACGGCATTTTTTTCACTTTGACAGTTTTTAATAATTATTGCTTCTATTAAGCAAGATCTCTTATGTAATTGTTGTATTTGCCCATTAGTCAAGACTCTCATTTTCATGTGAAATATGGAAATTAGATGGTTGGATCATTTTAAGTTATTTTTTAAAGAAGTCACTTTAAAGAAGTTTTATTGTAATTACCATGTGGCCAAAGTCAAGGGTTTCAAACTCAGTCCGGTGTTCAGAACAGAACAGAATAGAATAGAATAGAATAGAATAGAAAAGAAAACCGATTTCTTGTCATGGTGATCGGCGGATACCGATTCTGATGCTTCAAGCAAGAAGATATTTTGTTTTATAAATAAATGTTCATTTAAAAGCAGCCCACGATCAGCGTATTATGTTACCGTTATCCCTTATGGCTCCGACGAGGTTTTGTTCCGTCCTCCACGCTGTGACAACTCACAAAAGACTATTTTTAGCCAAGCAGCGCGGAGAGCCGCTTCAGAAACGTGCCGCAGCTGGCTGGTATAAACACAAGCACTGACTAGAGTGGCCGCGATGAGCTCCGGTTCCCGTGGAGCCATAACGCGCAACAGACATGTGCAGTGATGCGCAGATTATTGTTGTGACAGTGAGGAAATTTTCCCACCGGTTAATCGACGTGTGACATTTTACTTTTACTTTCAAATTAGCAGCAATTTGGTGTTGATTCAATTCAAGCAACAACAACGTCAAACTCATAAAACTTTTATTAACAAAACGAATAAAAATACACCATATATGCCTAATAAAATAAATTACTTAGGCTACACAAAGTTTAAATAGGTATATAAAACTGAAAATCAGCAAACACTGTGGAACCAAATAAATAAGAAAGGCTAAATTATTTTTGTTACTATAAAAAAAATCTAAACGACGGTTGGGGATGGTGCCGCGGTAGGCAAATGACGTAAAAGGTGTTGCGGCTTAACACCGGTATAACCGAAAACACCTTCTATCGCAGCAAGCCTAGCGCAGATCAGCTCTAACATCACTGAATCTGCTGTTAAAAATGAACCATCCATTCATCATATCATCATGCAAAACATACACGACTAATAGCGAATTTTTCATTGTTTCTCGAAACGTAATAGCATTTCCACTCCGGCGATGACATGACTGTGGCGCCATATCATTTATGTCCCCACACATCATGTATGTCCTCACGCGTTGACGTCATCAAAGTGATTACAGATCCAGTCATAAAATGTGATTATCTGCCGATACCGATCTCCGGCCGATCGATCGGAGCATCCCTACCTAAAAATCCTGCCTTGTAAAAGCTGGTCAGAAATCAGAGATAAATCACAATTATTTTGAGCTAACATCTAAAGTAGCAATGATGGATTTATTTATTGTATTTTATACACACGTATATTTTTTTTATCATTTTGGGGGGTTCACCACATCGAAAAGTTTGAAACTCCTAAGTAAAGTGAGTCAAAAAGGAAAGTAGTTTCAGAGGCAGAGCAAGTTATTACATTCTGATGAAAGATCACAAAACAAACATTTCTCTTAAAATGCACCAATGAATTATGCACAGTTAGACCAGGAACATGTATAAAGAAAGCAATTAGGGTCCATTTTGATTGTTCTCTCAAGTCTGAAGCCATTTGATAATGCTAATTACTAGAGATGTAGCGATTCACTCAACACGATTCGATTCACAATTTTGATTTCATGATTCGATTTTCTCACAATTTTTTTTAACAAAATGAGATTGAAGACATTATACAGTAAATGAAAAGGTGTCGTTTTATTAGGCTATTGCTGCATGTTTCTTTGTGAAATTGAAATATAACAAAACTAAATTGAAATTTTAAAACAAACCCCAAATCAAACAAGTTACACAAATAAAAGAAATCTCTTAATATGAACAAACTAAGGCTTTGTCTGTGCTCTTTCCATTTAAAATTGGGCAACCGCTGGATTTTAATCATGATCCAAACAAAGATGCAGCATACATGCAGCATGAGTAGTTTTAAATCTAAATTAGACTGTATAATTTCTAATTCTGAAGCAAAAACAGAATGGTCTGACTTTAGTTTTGTGAAACTATACTACATAAAACATCTGAACGAAACAGCAGACGAGCTGAATGAGACGCAGATTCACTCTCTGACAGCAGGTGGCGCTTATGAACAGCAATGATACAGTGTTTCCTGGGTTACCGCTGTAAACACAGCAGAGGTGCGCTTATGAATGCTACTTTAATATGCATTGTTCAGAGGCAAGGTGAAAAGAAAATACCACAAACTTTTCTAAAGATAGTCAGTTCCCCTCAGAGATACATTCATATAAACTCCTACTCCAATTGTATCGCGATTTGTTTGGCATCTCAACCGATTTGAATCGTCACATATTTGAATCAATTTTCGATAATCTCAGTGTAATCTTACTAAAAAAGCAACATTTATCTCCACATGCTTTTTTGAGTAATAATTCCCTTTCCAAGGTAAAAATCTTTTAATACACACTGATGATTCTCTGTGCTCAGGTAGTTTTGTTCAGAGAACTGGCACTGCAGGACTGGGATTTGTCCTAGTAATTTCAAGAAACTGAAAACTGAGAGACTAAACAAAATTTGCTATCTGTGATAAATTATATGATTAGTAAATTCAATTCAAACTGACAAAGTTTTTCTGTATATAATTAGAATCAATCCTAACCTAC